GATTTGAAAACCCCATCAATTCAAAATTGTAAAAGATAGTATCAAAAGTAATGTGGAGAGAGAAATATGTGAAAGAGATGTACGTTGGCTGCCGGAAAAATCAAACTAAGGACCTTCGTTATCGTAGTAGGTTGCTCTAACTTTAGGCCGAAGCTGGAGCTATTCTTCCCCGCCTCATGACGTCACACCGCACACAGATCTCAAAAATCACAACTAAAGGATATGAAATTTTTTTTCCTTATTCCTTCAGTAAGAAATGAGTTGAATGTTCGACACTTTTCCGATAATAGCTGACAAACTTTACCCTGCTAACAAATCATTTCTGTTCAAAAATGTCATATTCATACGTTTTTTTGGTATTCCTAACACTTAAAAATAATATTTTAATTTCAGAAAAATATCTCACTGGCTATCGCCATCGTTTTATTATCATTTTCGAATTTTAGTTTTTAACTTTTATTGTTAAGTAGAAGAATGCATATAAGAACACTTTTATAGCAACATATTGTCCGATAACAACTATAAAAGTGTCCTTATAGTTCATTAATTGGGATGGCTAATTTTAATATATTTTCCTATATATTATTATAGTAAAATTACACGTTATCACTAGGAAGTAAAAATCCTAATTACTAAGTAAATAATTTCTAGGCATATAATGATGGAATTATTACTCTTGTCCATAAATATTTAAAATTAAGGTGTTATAATTAAAACAACAATAATGACATTAAAAATGTGTTATGAAATTGGAAGAATTTTTTAAGCATTGATAAATTTTATTTTTGAAGTTCAGGATTTGATTGAATTTGACCATATACGTTTTTTTTCTTATTTTCTGTTTACAGTTACGAGATGGTATAGATTTCAATGGCTAAATTAAAAGTTCTTAAACGTCTAAACGAAAAACATGAAACATAATGCTTTTCATTCATAGGAGGATAAATTCCTTTAGTACATCCATAATTCATTTGATGTCACCTTTATATTTTCTGAAGCAAAACATGAAAAATTACGTTTTCTCATTCTGTGTCTTCTTGCCTGTTGCTATCGCGCAAGCTAATATTTGACTACTACTGTTAAATTTGTGCAGACCAGGTAACAAGGTACACCAGACCAGGTACACCCAGTTCAGTGAGAATTAGGAAGCCTTACACAGTTGTCGCCGCAATGACGCATTATGGCATATATTCTACATGCTTAAAGAGTTTTTAAGATATAGCGAACTAAGCAAAGTAAGTCGCTTAATCAGAAGTCAATATCAAAATAAGTTGCTTTAAGCTTGCGGTTCACATCTGTTGAAAGGACCCTTCTTCCTTGACATTTAAGTTTTTTAATTACAAGCCAATGGAAACTAGCGTTAGCGATGGACCTAAAGACCGGATAACATGAAATTTCAAAATCCTACGAATTACTAACTGGAAAACAATCGCAAAGAAGAGAGCCGAATTCATGGGAAGGGAAATTCTAGGAAAAACTCTGGCCCAGAAAGGGCTATAGAAAAGGGCCCAATTGAAAAAGTAGAAGAAATAAGCAACAAAAAAAAATTAAACTACTGATTTATGTAAGAGTTTGAACATATTTCTCCAAATAATAGGTCTAAGGACAACAGCAATTGAGTTGGCGGAATCACCATGATTTCAGTCACTGTCTGCCTTGCTGTGATGCACTTAGTAATTCATTGGTGGAAAAAAAACAAGTTCCGGTACACCAATTATAAACTATCTATAGCTTCCTCACTGTTTTTCGTTATTTGCTTAAGTCTAAATGGATAACTAAAATACTTGAATTTTAGCATTTAGTTCAGCGATTTAACTTCAACTGACCGAACTTTTTAAAAGCTGAAGTTATTACAACTTGTCCTAATATTGTTGCAACTTTTAAAATTAATCATAATAAAATAAAACCCACTTCTATAATGATCAATTATCATTTCTGATTTTAAAGTTGAAATTTTTTTTTCACTACAGCCACCTTTTAAAAAAATTGAAGAAAAGAAGTCAAATTATATGAGAAAGGAAAAATGCAGCAAACATGAGAAAAATAGAGAAAGAAACAAGCTTTACATTGTTACATGCTAAAATTATGACGGCGAATAAGGAAAATCACCGGTGTTTTTTCCGAACACCGCTGAACTAACTTGCTGAACATCCAAATCCGTCCCCGATACTCCCACTTCTGTGACGAGCTCGTCAACAGTGGTGACTCCCAGTCTTCATCTAGTCACTCACGGTGATCCGAATCACCTCGATTACGGTCCTCCTTAAGATATAATATTTTAAGTTGAATAAATAGATGTCAATAATATATCCATTATTACGCAACACTTCAAGCAATTTCAAATTATTGTCGCATGAGCCGCGATGGCTCAGAGGATAGGAGCGTTCGCCTTCCAACGTGGCGAACAGGGTTCGAATCCCAATCGATACGAATTCTGCATCCGACCTGCACCGACCATAGTGCAGACGTGAAATATCGTCAGTGGTAGATGGATCATGGATCCCTTGTTGTCAGGCTAACCGTGGGAGGGTCTCGTGTTCTTCCTCTTCATGTAACTCAAATGCCGGTTAGTTCCATCAAAAAGTCCACCACGAAGCCAAATTTTCCCAAATAATTGGTCCAAGAGTTCCCTTGTTTTCTGGATTGGGTTCAAAGTTACAAGACTACGGAGCTGAACATTAGTAGTCGTAAAATCAAAATTGTGTCGGCTGCTCAACTACTGTTACAAAATAAAAAAAATAATAATGATATAGTTGCACTCTTAAAAAATTCTTGGAAAAATGACTAAAAAACAATTTATTTATCCGGGAAGGATTATCTATAAGACGTAATAAGGTTCTAGACCCAACGTCGACACCATATTTTTTGCCCCATTACTTTCAACACAAGATTAATTTCTAGTGCCATGCACTCCCTAATTTATGAATGAAAATTCCCACACTGTATCATACATTCAATAAAAATAATTTTGACAAAACATCATTAGATTAATAAATATAAAAGAATATCACACTAAACGAGATGATAGTATGAATAATCTTAAAGGCATAAGTTCATAAATCAATAATCTTGATAATTTCGAACGGACAATTTCAATGTTGATGAGCAACAGTGGACAAGAAACGGATCTTGTTAGCTTACATAAAAAATTTAAATTTTTTCAGTTTATGCTACTTCCCTTGAGGTCAATAAAATGATCAACAAAGTAAGGGAAAAAATAAACTTGCAAAGGTGTTCGATGTAAACTAAATAATTTTTCGATACAATCTTTTGTATTTCTAGAGCATCTTCTCCTTATAAAAGAGAGTAAAAAAGAGTGAAGGAGACCCTATGTAAATGCTTGTTGCACAGAAGTGATCAGAATAAAATATAACATGGGACCTCTTACTTGAGAAAAGGAATCTATTCATTGCAACCCTGTTTTTTCCTGCCTTTCTCTCTTCAATAGAAGATCAATAGAAAAAAGAGAGCCTGGCACATAGCAAAAGAGAGGTAATCTAACCTCTTTGAAAGCAATTCAATAAATCTTGTGAATCTCCATCTCTTCAAAGATATCCATCGTAGTGCATCGCCTTCCCAGATTCTTCCGTTTTTGTAAAAGCTCTTTAACAGATTTATTTTCATTTTATTCTTTAACAATAACTGGAGAAAGGAATTTAAAAAAAAGTTCTTTATTGTTAACATAAATTAAATTAAAATACAGTTGTTGTTTATAATTCTGTAATATGCTAATTTCCTATAACTTACTCTGTTCAAATAATGGGATATACTACTTTAGTTGCTCACTTTATGAACTGTGTCTCTTTTGTTTGTCTCAATCCTATTCACATATTCAGAGCTTTCTTATTACTCGTACATACTCTGAAATAATCGAACAAGAACATCCTAATAAAGGTAAAAATGTGTGGATAAATAAATAAATGGTTAACATCTAGCAGTAGTAGATTGTTTATTTTAGGAGAATTTAATTTTGCCTGCTTTAACAAAAATTTCGATACAAATGTTTTGGAAATATTTATTTATACGTCTAATTTTATTATCATGATTTGGAAGATTGTGGAACTAATAATAAATAGTTATTATCTCTTTTCTAAGCAACCTACCATAGTTTTTTCTGAAATATGTTTATAAATATGACATATATTTATTATTATGATTATAATTATTTTTTATTTATGGTATGTTTCTTAATGAATGACTTTGTCTCTATTTAGAGTTACTTATTATTCCCTGTTGCAAGTTAAGAAATAAAAAACATTATCCCTATGGATAGAATCTGTTTGCATCTAAATTCACGCAAGTGGATACCAAACTCCCAGCTCAAAAGTATTTTAACATCGCTACTTGTTAAAACGACGTTGCACAGCCTTCTTTTTGCGTGCTTTTTTAAATCGTGTGAAATAAGGGAAACAAAACTTATTCATCAATCAATTAAAAATTAATGAGAATTCATCAAAATGATACCTAAAAATCGTAACTTATATAGAACTTTCTGTTCGCATTTGAAGAAACTGATGAAATAATAATAAATAAATATTGTTTCTTGCAGACGATTTTCAACAGCGAAGCAAAAATAAAAATTCTTTATCTCACATTTGATTAGTTAAGAGCAGGGATGGGCAAACTGTTGAAACCTGTGAAAAATGCAAACCTGAGAAAAATGCTAAGTCTGAAAGCCATTCTGTATCTCTTAATATTTCGCACTCTGCTGAACACTGTTCCTCATGGAACAACGACACGTGGTCATTTTTTCCTGACAAACTCGCTTGAAAACACATCCTCCACTAAGTCATCTTCAAGTAAGATGACTTAGTGGAGGATGTGTTTTCAAGCGAGTTATTTGATTTTATAATCCATAATACCTCCCATTATGGTAATTTTTGAGAATTTTTACTCCGTATATGATATTCATATCGATAAATTTATGGTATAATAGATATTTTAATTTTCAATTCCACAAAACTTTTTTGTTGATATTTTACTGATTTTATTTGTTTCAGGATATAGTGGATCTAAGTATCAAGCTTTTAGTGTTGGAACGCTTCATGTTGCTTCAGTTGAACAAGCAGACGGTGGTCGTCGCTATCGTTGCCAAGTGACTAACAGTTTAACTAAAGAAAAAGTTGTTAGTGTTGGGTGGGGAAAACTGAAAGTTGTTGGTAAGTATTTTTTTTATCTTTTTTCTAATAAAACATGGATACGTTTTGCAGCTCTAATAGCTAATGTTATTTTCATGAAATTTGCAGTAGATGTGCGGTTTTTATTCATAACAGTGTTGTTAGCTTCGACTTCAACTATTTTTATAAGCAATTTAAGATAAAATTTAAGCAAATAGGAAGTATATTGTATAAACTTTTGGTTTTACATTTTAATCATACTGGTTAATTTGTTATCGAATTATAATTTCAGATAAATTTCCTGGCTTTTTTCTTAGTATGATTGTGTAAAAGTAAGTGAAATTGTGGCACGTTAGCTTTATATATCTGCTTATGAATAGATATAAAAACTATTGATGAGTAGATATAAAAACTATTGATGAATAGATATTAACACTATTTTGAAAAAAAAAACACTAGTACTTATGACAAGCATCTAACGTTCAATCAATTGATAACTTCAAACAATCTAAATTGAAAGTTATCTAACAATTTTAAAAAAAACACACTTTTCAATCTTCCTTTAATTGCTATTAACTGTTTTATATGTCTATTTTGTTATAAATAATATCACGGAAATTTAGTACTTTTCTTACTGATTTTACATAATTAAAAGCTGAGAAATGTTATTCACGGATCAGTGATATTTTTCTTAAAAATATTTTTTTTATTTCTTGTCTATTTTTTTTTTATCTTTTCTAGGCATTCATGCACTTTTTGAAACCTAAATCAAACTTTTAGTTTATTGCTAACGGGATATAAAATATAGATTCGATCTTCGATTCATATTAAATTATATTATCAATGATTCGATTTATTAAACTTAAACAAAAAAAAATAAAAGGACATTTTATAAAAGTATAGTATAAATCCTACAGTTATCTCTACTTAAGGTGAATTATTTGCAAAACTGAATTTTGACTAAAACGGACAATTGTATGAAATTTGCAATTGTTGTTTTCAAGGTGTCATATTTCTCGTTTATTACAGTCACATTAAGTTTAAAGTTAATAAACGTGGGAGGACAGTCTGTAACGAGACTTGAATATATCATGCTGGCTAACTTCGATAAATACTAATATACCTATCAACATCTAATATGTGATTGTTATTGTATGTATTTATAAAGCTTACATACACCAGTAGAAGTTTCTAGGAAAAAATGACTAAATAATAATTTAATAAATTGTTATTTTATCATATTCAAATAAAACAGTTATATAACCATTAATAAAGATGGTGTTCAGACTCATAACTCTGAGAAAAACCATTTATTAACTGCTTTCACCTAAATTGGTTAAAAACCCAGAATTTTATCGCACCAACTGGGCCCACCTAATACGTCATTGAGTTTCTTACAGCTATGCACAAATTATACCCGAAGCGCCTAATCTGTCAATCTCATGAGCAAGTTCAAGTCCCAACGTTTTCTCCACAATGCTTCCTGCATTCCCTTTGACACAACGAGAGCAACCAGTACACTTCCAAGACTTCCCAATTTATGACTCTGGACTATCAGACTACGATACTCTTATTTACGCTAGATGGCAGCACCAAAACACAGTTCAACACAAACATAGTCAAGTATTTCCTTTCAATTATGATAGGTAAAACAACCAGATAAACCAGATTAACCACATTCCACTGGTTATGTGATCAAACACAACTCAACCGCAATCTAACTTCAATTCACATTACTTCACGTAAAGCCGAGCTCCAATGTCCAGTCAAATTTCATTTTTATGGTTTTGAAACCATAATAGATAAAAATGGTAAAAAAACCATGTTTTTTGTAACTATATAAGTTGTAAACGTTTTCAAAACCTTAGAGGTAAAAAATATTCTTCACCGCAAACGGATGGACAGATTTTTGCCGTTTATTTACCGTAATTTTATAATGAAAGTTCTAACAGTGCATTAGAAATACTTATCAATATTGAACTAAGAGCTATTTTAATGAAAATTTTTGTTGGCTTTTATAAAATCTCTCAAAACAATTTAAATCTCATAATGCTTGATTTATTATTGGTTCATTGAAATCACACATCGCTATATAAGTATAATACAAAGCAAGTAAAAATGGAAAGTATTGTAATGTACTAAAATCACCTTTGCTAAACTCATCACTTTTTATTCACTGCTTAAATTAAATTATAATATACTTATAAAACATTTCAAATATTTTTTTAAAGAATAATTTCAAAAGGTAGATAAAATCAATTCTTTTGAAGCTGAAATGAAATTTTAATACATAAAGAAATTACTTTCTCAACAAATCTTTTACAAATAATTTAAATTTATTAGATTTTTTATAAAAAAATTTGCATAGTATTTTTTAATGTTTAATTTCTCAAGAAGGCTTTTAATTTGAAAAGAAAAAAGAAATATGCAAGTGCTTTAATTTTTTTTTAAAAAAGAGCTTTTTATAAAAAATTTAAAAGGGAAATTATTTTTAAATGATTATTAGCCTTAAATTTAAATGGAACGTTTTTATTCCAAACGGAATACAGGATTAAATTTAAGTAAGAATTACGAAGCAATTCACGGTTTTGAATGTAAATTAAATATACTAATACATCCAGAGTATTAAAATACAACAAATATGTATTTTAATTTGTCAGTGGAATAAAATTTCTTATTTTCACACTCTAATGTAGTCAACTGGGAAATGAAATATTTCAAATGAATAATGGTAAATATATTTTGATGGATATAAAAGTTAATATATTTTAAATTTGAATTCTAATTCGAATTTATTTCACTTATTCCGCGAAATTTATTATTAAAGGAACCTTTTCCCACTAAGCATTTAATATCTTTATCTCAAGACATGATATATTTCCGTAATTAAATGCTAAATTATATATCAAAGTATTCAATAAAATTGAATAACGTGGATATTACTTTCTATTAATCAGGTATACAGTTAATGTAACCCTTTTTTATAGCATGATCGTAAAATTTTAATTCAAATTCTTTTAAATCACAATCCCTCTAAATTCAATTAGTGAGAAAATTTTAATATACTTATGTTTTTCGCGTATTTTTAACAAAAAACAATTATAATTTTCATTTGACTTCGAATTTTGTGGTTTATGACAAACTTCTACATGAGAAATTTCAGTCATAATTAATAAAGAGTTTTTCAAATACTTCTTACTTTCTTAGGGCAATGTTTGTTTGCCATTGCTTTTGCATTAATGAAAGTTATAGTAAAATTTGACAGGTTTAATGATAAAACTTTTAATATGTTTGCACGTTTTCAGCTCTTGATATTTTGAAACATAGCGATCAAGTTGCAGATAAAAGGCACCTGTTTTACGTTAATATTTTAAGATTGCATCAATTTGCTTGTCATTGGTTTAATATGCTGATTATCATAAAATTCAATTCATTGCATTTATAATTACAAGAGAAAACTAACGTTTTCTGATAAAAATAAGTTACAGACAATTAAATTATGGGTTTTATTAAAGAAGACCATTGAATTCACTACGTGATTCAAACACATTATTGTATATGTTATCCAAACAAAATACATAAACATACTTCCAAGTCTGTTAAAGTTTACCAACTGTGAATATAAATATAGATTTATTTACATTTATAATAAACCTTAAGCTACTACGCAGCTCATGTTTGACACTTTCACACATAATCTGTATGTGCCCAAGTTAGAAATGTTAGAAATATATTCTTAATGATAAACGTTGCAAATCAAAGCAAAATTCTATTGTGATTTTACTTTAGTATTTTCTTTTTAATATATTAGTTTGCTCATAAATGAATATCAACTTAAATATTTTACTTTTTTCTTGTCTGTACAGTTTATACATTGTTAAAATGCTTGTAAAATACATTAACTTCCGTCTGTGCCAATCCACTCTTAATTAAATTTATTGCAAGAAATAACTAATATTTTTTTTAAAAAAAACAGCTTTACGCATATTTGAATTAAAAAAAACACTCTAAATATTAATTTTGTTTAAACTAGAGATTCCAAATTGGACCAATGTCTAAATCAAGCAAACAAAGCATCCATTGTTTAAACTATGGAGTCCTATGTATAAGTACCTATTTTAAAACAACTATAAAAAATGTGACTTTATATTTAGTTCCAATCATTAATTTGGTAGAAACGCTTGCATAGTTCTAGAAAAATCATTTATAAATATTGTTTTTAAATACTGCGTAATCAAAAATTTGTATTAAATAATAATTTTTCTAAGTAAAATTTTCTAATTTGTGTTCAAACTCAATAATACAAATTAGAATCTTTTCAAATTCAATTCAACCTCAATAAAACTCTCCAAGAAAAAAAAACTAAATAACTAACTACTATTCATTTATTATGTCCTCTCATTATATTAGTCATGAAAATGATAATCAAGAAAATGTTCTTAAGATTATTATGATAAATATTCATATATTATCAATGACGTGTATGCAAATTATGTATTTATTGATGAATAAGCTTTGTTAATTATTATTATCGCAAAATAATTATTATTTTTTAAAATTCTTAATTGAATTAAAATCTTAAATTAATTGCAGAAAGCATTTATTTTTAAACTCTATTAACATGCTTATAAGTGAAAAATTATATTAACCACTTAAAGATAATATGGGTAAATGGTGAAAAGGATTTACATTTTAATTTTATGTCCCGTAGTTTTTTAAATAAACTGAAAAATTAATATATCTATTAATGTACTAATGAGCACAGAAGTGTTTTAACTGCAGAATTGTAGTAAAAGTTATTGACAAAAAATTATGCTTCATCTCAGTAAAATGTTCACTAGTTAATTGGAAATATTTGTGGTACAGTTTCTATCTTTACCCAATAAGTTAATTTAAAAAATTACGACGTTAGAGAACTGTTACAAAATTGCTTCCTATTTTTTATAATTGCTTAAAATAAACTAACAGTTCAATAGTTTAGAATGAATAGAAATAAATAGTTAAATTAAAGAGTTCGTAAAAATTTCCTTCGAGTTTTTAAAGAATTGAATTTGCGTTAAATATGATAGCTGATGTATGGTGTGTTCATTAAAAAATACCAGTTAAATAATTTCTCTTTGTAAAGAAATCGCAATGGCCACCACTAGTGATGTATTTGGCATTTGATTTAACATTACTGTTTGTTTTTCTGTGAGAAACCAATAGACTTAGAAATTTGAAAGAAAGTATTTGCGTAGAAAATTGTGTAGGAAGTACAATGGAATTTAAAATAACATTCGAGAACTATTTGAGAGCTTGTAAACTTGTATGGAAAAAAACATACGGGTCGCTCTACAGCCTACAGTAAAAATTTGAAAGATTTGACATCATGGTTGATATTTGGTATGATTAAATGGTGTTTGTTCGAAAGTTATTGCAAATTTAAAGGCTTTTTGGCGAAATATTGAGAGCTTTTGCTTTAAATATGAAGTATTTATCCATTGTTGTTGAATTTTTTTCCCTCATGAGATCTTTATTTAATAGTCTCGCTTTGGAGTAGATGTCAATCAAAAGTAGCAAAAAGAGAGAGAGAGAATTACAGATCATCAGATATGTATCTTAACTTTTATTGTGGAATACGTAAACATTAAAAAAGGTATTGATAAGAATTGTACTTCCTCTATTTGAATTATTGCAAATCTCGTAAACAACTTGTTCTTATGAAATCAAACAATCTCTATTCATAAAGCTTTACTTTTTCTCAAATTCAGATGATTATTTTTCAAAT